TCAGAGGAATTTGTGTGGAATTCTGCAGTGGGCCCGTGGTCACCTGGGCTGTCCTTCCTCATCCCGGCTTCCCAGGAATGACACAATGTCTTATTCTGAGGTTCTGGGTGACGTGGACCAAATGTCTGGAATAAGAAGCTCTCCCTGTTAACAGACTATTCATGGCCTTGTGGCAAACATCCAGATTATGGGCTGTTCACTCCGTGGATTCAGCGACACCATCCCGGCAATTAATTCATCGGAAAATGGGAGAAGGCAAACGTTTCCTCTCAGATTTACTCAGGATCAACATCTGCATATGTAGGCAGCCTGTCCTATAGAGAACTGTAATTTATAGGAGACCTTTAATAGGTTCCAAGTGCTGTGCAATCAATTAGAAACCTGATGTTCAAAGAGGCAGCCCCAGACCTGTCTGCCTGTTACTCAATCCCTGCTCCGAGGGTGAATGGCAGGAAGAGGACTCTGGGAATTTAATACTTTTTGGGACTTCCTTTTCTGTCATTTCCTAATGATGAAAACACTACTTTGAGGAGACAGGTCTCATCTCAAGGCAGATGTTAATTTGATTCTTGTTTGGTGTTTTTTGGTTTGTTTCGGGGGGTTTTTGGGGTTTGATTTTTTTTTTCATGTTCCCAAATGTTGATTTTCAATTCTCTTTAGCATCAACTACCAGAGAATCCCAGGGATGACAGATGGGATGCAAAATCCTTGGGAACATTATGAAAGATGGAAATGATAAAGCTCTGCTAGTTAAGTGTCTAAATCACGTTTTCAGGAAAAAAAAAAGGACATGAATTTGGGAGTGTATATCCAGTGAAATCCATGTCCCCTGGGACTGGGAGCAAAGCAATTCCCAGTCCCAGTTGGGATTATAAATTTTACTTCTGGGAAAGCTTTCCTTTTTTGCACACAAGTCCCACTGATGGGGAGGCTGCTTGGAAGGACCGAATAAAGCAAATTACAGACCCGAGCAGTGGGACTTGTGAGCAGCAGATTCTACATTTGAGAGAAGAGTTTCCAGTTCTTCCCAGTTGGCTGCTGAAGGAGAGCAGGTTGTGCTCTGTCCTGACACGGCCCATGATGTAACTGGATCTCTGGTGGTTGTGAATGTCATCCTCCCCAGCCCAGGGAGGTGCAGTGCTGTGGAAGGAAGGTGAGATCATTCCTCCCCCTGGGACACTGGTTGGGGGGAGGTTGGAGAGGCTGTGGGACGTGGCAGGAGCAGATGGGAAGAAAACAAGTGGGACCAGAGAGAGCTGGGCAGAGGAGACCAGGGAGCCGCTGGAGGCAAAGATCCAACTGCAAGGACGTGGTGGGCAGAAACTTGATTGCTTTAATATCCCATCTCCCCCAAGCTGCTTTTCACTGTTCAAAGGCCACTCTTCCCTTTCAGTTTGAGTCATTTTTGGAGGAGTTGCTCGGCAGGGAAGTGTTGCAGGCAGATGCATCTCCAACCTGTGGCCAAGCTCAGCCCCGTGACCTCTGGCTGCTGAAGTGCTCTAAGGCAGCTGCCAGCCCAGCTCATTTTCTCCAGGATGGAGGAGTCAGGAAAAGCTGGGATTACTCACTGCAAGTGTTTAAAGCCATTTCCTCGTCCTGGAGGACCTGCTGCTGCTCAGGCAGTTACACAGAATCAGCTGAATGGTTTCTTTAGAACCATGTGAGAAATTCATGAGCGTGTGTTGAAAAATATTAACTCAGACCAACTGCAGCTGCAGGTTTCTTGGTCTGTAGAACCTCAGACAAAAGACAATGTGCCCTAATAAAATATATTTTCTGGTCATCCTTGCTGCTCTTACTGATGTAGAGATAAGACTGAAGAATTACAAGGTTTTTAAGATGGAAGAGGAAGATTTTTAAAATGGAAGAGGGGGAGATTACAGGGTCTTGCCAAACTCTCCTGGTGATGCTCACCTGGTTTGTTGGGAATTCCTGTGTTTCTGAGTGCTTGTGTGCTCTTGTCTCTATTCCCAACTTGGCATGGTTGACACTAGAGAATAATCACATGTAGCCAAGCTTTTATATACTTTTCTGTTTGTTAGGTGCTTTGGCTTCTTGCAGACCCCAAACTTGGCTGGTTTGTGGAGCTCTGAGCTGAGTTTTCGGAGCTCTGGGCTGGGTTTGTGGAGCTCTGGGCTGGGTTTGCAGACCCCAAACAGGAGTTTGTGGAGCTTTGGGCTGGGTTTGTGCAGCTCTGGGCTGGGTTTGTGCAGCTCTGGGCTGGGTTTTCAGAGCTCTGGGCTGGGTTTGTGCAGCTCTGGGCTGGGTTTTCAGAGCTCTGGGCTGGGTTTGTGCAGCTCTGGGCTGGGTTTTCAGAGCTCTGGGCTGGGTTTGTGCAGCTCTGGGCTGGGTTT